AAACTAGAGAAGTGCCATTCTTCAGTCAAGGGTATATTATAGCTACTCTTCCATGGTAAAACCTCCAAACAAGCTCAAGATCCATTTGTAGGAGAAAGTAGGGTGGTCAAGCTTCTAAGACTCCAGACACATCCAAATGAGGCATTGCATGTGGCAGTCTGCCTTTCTTTTGCAGAAAGAATAGCAAACGTGGCAAGCAACCAGCATGGCTTAGTATAGAACACTTTGATGAGCTTAAACATGAAAAAGGAGCTTACAAAAAGTAGAAGCTTGGACAAACAACTAGGCAGGGATGAAATCAGGAAGGCCAAAGTGCAATTGGAGTTGCAGCTAGCAAGAGATGTGAAGGGTAACAAGAAGGGTATCTACAAGTATATTAGCAACAAGAGAAACATCAGGGAAAGTGTGGGTCCCTCTGAATGGGAAGGCAACCTAGTGGTAGATGTTGAGGAACAGGATGACATACTTAGTGCCTTTTTTACCTCAGTCTTCACAGGCAAGATCAGCTCCCAGACTACTGTACTGGGCAATACAGTTTGGGGAGAAGGTGAGCAGCTCTCAGAGGTGAAAGAACAGGTTAGGGCAGGGGTGAGCAATTGTTTTGGGTGGAGGACCTCTTAATGAGTTCTGGTGAGCTGTTGAGTGCCACACGGATAGCCCTGCCCCTTGACAGGTGCCCTGTCCCCTGGCTGCCATATTGGGATCAGAAGTCCCACCCCTAACCCCTGACCTTTGCCACCAGAAGTCCCTCCCTTGGCCCTCAGAAATACTCCTTTTGGGAGGGGGAATTTACCATCTAAAAACCAGGAAAAAAACCAAATCATACACTAAAAGTCAGGCACCTACTATAACATATTTTAATTTTATCACAACATTTTTGGTCATGATTTGTGTTTGTGTACTGTATATAGAGATGATTGCATAATTACTCAAAATAAATTCTTAGTCTTTTATATTGTGTGTGTGTGTATTGTGGGGTGCGTGTATGTGTATCATGGGGGTGTATGGTGGGTTGTGTGTGTGTATGGTGGGGGTGTGGGGTGTATATGGTGAAGTGTGGGTGTGTGTGGGGGTATGGGAGGAGTTTGTGAGGGCATGTGGTTGTGTGGGGGGGCATAGGGTATGTTGGGGAGTTGTGTGGCGTATGTGGGGTATGGGTCTGTGGCTCTGGAACACACTGTCCTCTCCTGCAGTCAACAACGGATGGGGGATTGTCTGTGTGTGTGTCTGTGTGGCTTGTGTGGTGTGGGGGAAGATGGGAGAGGTGTAGGAAACTCCAGTGCTGGGCCCCCCACTATAGAAAGGATATGAAAAAGTTGGAGAGTCCAGCGGAGGGCAATGAAAGTGGTTAGGATGCTGGGGCAGATGACTTCTAAGGAGAGGCTGAGGGAACTGGGCTTGTTTAGTCTGCAGAAGAAAAATCTGAGTGGGGACTTGATAGTAGGCTTTAAATACCTGAAGGCGGGTTCCAGAGAGAATGGAGTAGATTGTTTTCATTGGTGACAGATGACAGCAAGAAGCAATGGTCTCAAGTTGCAACAAGAGAAGTTTAGGTTGGATATTAGGAAAAACTTTCTCACTGGAAGGGTGGTGAAGCACTGGAATGGGTTACCTAGAGAGGTGGTGGAATCCCCATCCTTGGAGGTTTTAGGGCCTGGCTCGACAAAGCCTTGGCTGGATGTTCTAGTTGAGTTGGTCCTGCTTTGAGAGGAGGTTGGACTAGATGACTTCCTGAGGTCCCTTCCAAGCCCATTTTTCAATGATTCTATGTACCCTTTTTTTATATATAAATCTGTGGTGCATCCTAACCTTGAATACTATGTCCAGTTCTGGTCCCCACACTCAAAAACGATATAGAAGAAGTAGAGAAGGTACATAGAAGGGTAACGAGTGATTAGTGATATGGTGGGCTTCCATAGGAAGAGAGACTAAAGGGACTAGGCCTATTTAGTTTAGAAAATAGATGCTTGAAGAGGGACATGATAAGTGTTTATAAATACTGAATGGCAAACAGAAAATGAATAGGGGCTTATTATTTATTGTGTTTCACAGTACATGGACTAGAGGGTCACAGAATGAAACTAGTAGGTAGAAAGTTTAAAACTAACAAATGGAAGTTCTTACTTATACAGTATGTAACTAAAGTATGGAACTAATGATCACCACATGTTATGGAAGCTGACAGTTTAGTCAGATTCAAAAAGGGATTGGGCAGATTCTTGAAGGAAAGGGGAATTAGTAGCTAATGAGCACGGGAGCTAGAGATACAGCTTTTGAATAAGAACGTCCTAGCCCTTATATGTTGGAAGTTGCAAGTAAGAGAGTATAGGAAGGTTCAGGTTTCAGGGGTGGCCATGATGTTCCTTGGTGACCATGTAACCCTTGCCCTGATCCTGGTTTAGGGTGCCCTCCGCTTCTCACTCATCTGCCATGCCTTGATGTACTTGTTCATAGACAAGAAGGATGCCTAGAGCAAGCTCCAGTACTTTTGGTCACCAGCAGGTCCCTTTTGGACCCCACTGATCTTGGTGTAACCCCTACCTGGATGGGCTCTCTTGCCCCACCTACACCCCAGGGCACCTGTAGTTTAAAGGGCTATTCATTGTCTCCAACCTCCCCTCCAGCCATGCTCTTGTCTTGTAGGTGTTACTGTACATTCATTCCCTGGGCCTTTTTAATTTGCACGCCTTTTCTCTAGCTGGGCCTTCTAGCCTGGGCCCATTGTGCTGCATTTGGTTTCTGGGCTCCAGCTTTAGTCTTGATTACTTTGGTCCTGAGCCTCTGGCCCTGTTTCCACCTGGCCTTGTGCAACAAGCCTGCTTTGGTTCTCTTTGAGCCCCCCAGCCCTGTCTCTGCTCTGCTGTGGGTGCTGAGCCTGATCTGACTCTGTGTTGGCCCCTTGGCCCTATATTTATTCTTCCTTGGGCAATGAGCTTGCTTTAGCTCTATCTGAACCCCCTGGCCTTTGGTGGGGGTCAAACACTATCATGCCCTCAGGCACTATTGGGACCAGAGAGTCCCTGAACCCTGATAGTCCTAACCTAAACCACCGGTATGAACTGCAATGGAAGAATAAGCCTGCTGGCTATAACACAGACTAAATCTTGTCTAAGTCCAAATATTAACAGTAGCTTACTGCCAGGGCAGCAAGGCTTCCATTACACTGGGTTGTATGTCTCTGTAAACCACCAGCGTCCTTTTGGCAGTCCATAGGGAAGCTCAGAAGTCAACCAGAAATCCTTCTGCAGTCTTCCTGACCAGGGGCTCCTCTCCGCATGGCTTGCAGGGTGAGACTCCCTTTCTGGGTCAGACTCTGGGCTTATCTACTGCCCAAGCCCTGGGCCTCCTGGTGAGGTGGTACTTCAGCCATCTTCAGGGATTTCTCCTGAGAGTCTGGCAGCTGGTTTCCATGGCAGTTTATGACTGCTGCTCCAGCTCAGCTCGACCCTCTGCCTAGCAGCAAGCTCTGAAATAGGCAATCATGACCTCTTATCCCTCACTCCCTATTCCCATGCAGCCATCTTTCCCTAGCAGAGTTCTGATCAGACTGCAGATGCGCCCCTTTACTCATATGGGCAGCTTTTCTTTGCTGCCTTCCCTCTTGTAGTTAGCCTGTATTCAGCTGTCTGGATTCTATCATCTATAGTTACTCTCCTTAAAGTAACATGAGACCCAGAGAGATACAGTGGGAAAAACCCTGGGCATAACCTGTTCACTCTTTCTTTCAGCATCCACTCTCTGCCACTGTGTGACATAAGAAATGCCATAGGTCCATCTTATCCAGTATCCTATGTTATTATGTGACTTACCCTTTTTTTATTTAAACATTTCAAAATTTTGAACGTTTGATGTTTAGATAAAATTGTGGCTCATTAGCATCTCTGTATCTCAACCACTCCACCTAGAAAATATGGATGAGTGTTTATCTATTTAGTTCCCTGGATATAATAAGGATTACCACCAGTATTAGTAAAATACTTTGAAGAAGAAAACTCCATTTTTGTTGTTAAATATATTGTGCTAGGAGGCTCAGACATTCAAAAAGGCCAAGGCGGAATCCGTCTAAGTTGCGCAATTTTCTGTAAGTTGTTTAGATCAGTAGTAAACAGAACACATGTTCACCCTTTGGTGGTGGGAGCAAATCTTAGATCAGGTTCCGCCATTTTTAAACAAGTCTATGCGTGCCAAACTTCTGTTCTGTCATGGGTATAGACCTGTTTCCTATCACTTATACTGGTAAAAGTGTAATGACTGTACCTAGCCATAGGGAATGTACTAATCAGAAGGTAGCGATACAAGGAACCAGGAAGAAGGCCAAGTAGCAGGGGACCCTGAATTTGAACTCCTGCTTGGGAGAAGAGAAAGAAGTCTTGGTTGCTTTGGTGAGAATTTGTGTTTTGCTCTGCTTGGTTAGTACTTTGTACTCTATGTCCTGTTTCTTACACAGTTGTTTGAGGAAGTAGCTCACAGCTCCTGAGCTTAACAAGGAGACTGGGTTATCTTAGGTAGCAGGCCTGAGCCAACCAGATCTCCTGGAATACAACAAGCTGGCAAACAGACATTTGGTGACTGGGTTTTACTATACAGTTTGCTACAGCTATTTATATCCAGCCCTATTTGTGTGATGATCTTAATATCTTGATGTGGTACAGCTGGTATAATTAACATTGGAAGCATTGTTTAGCACTGAATTACATTACATTAGAACATTTTTGCTCTCTCAAAGACCAGAAAAAGCAATGTCTGGGAGATGCTGAATCATTAAAACCAGCATCACTTTCAACTCTTCCTCTACCCATACTTGTGGGGGGCTCTGTTTGGGTGGGGTTCCTGGCCTCAGAAGTTCTTGCCTTGATTTGGGGAATGGGATTTCTGTCACTTAGCCATGAAAGTGATGGCATCTGGAATGGTAGGTGCCTGTTAATGGAATCCATCAGGAAATGGGTAAGATACTTGCAAGAGGTGGGAGCTAAGTATCTTGGAACAGGAGGTTTATTGACATGAAGCACAAGGAGTCCTGGAAGACTATCATGCTCTTAGAAGACTCCAGTACCACCAGGGAAATAGAGATTTGCCTACTCAGAAAGTTGGAGACAGTGTCCTTTGGGTCCCCATCTATCAAGGTGAAGAATGAGTATGAACCCCGGCCATCACAGGACAAGAAGCCAACCCTACTGTTGGAAGAGGTAAAAAGCAAGCACAGTTAAAGGCTTGGAAGTTCATAGTTACCACTCTCAAGAACAAATTAAAGGTGGTAGAGATTGGTGACTCTTATATGTCAGGGATAGAAGCACCTAGCTGCCAGCTTGAACTATTGTTTCACTGAGTCTCCTGCCTACTAAAAGCCTAACCGAAGATGGTATGTGTTGGTACTGGATTATGACCCAGATACCTTGTTCCGGGTGGACCCAAAGCCTCAGACGTACCACAACCTCTCCATTCAATAATAGGTGAATTTTATTGATACAGTGACAGCAGATAAGAATAATGCAAACAATTGTATATCTACCAGTCCTAGAGCTGTCACAGTGTTAAGCCATGTCTAGCCAGTATACAAACTTCACCCTGAGGTTTGTTCTTGAATGTCAGATGTCAGCAGCCTGGAGGCTGAAGACTGAGGCCCACCTCCCCAGAGTGGAGTGGGTGAGATGGGCTGGTGGTGTGTCCTCTGTCCATGATGGCCTTATGTTCCCCTCTCAGGGATTCTTTGCTGCTCTGAAATCCTTCCTTTTGTATTCTCTCCCCTCTGATGACTCTTCATGCCTAGGCATTGTTAATTGGTCTCCTTGTGGCCATCATAATGTCCATGTTCTGTCCTGTCAGCATATTCCTTTGTTTCACAAACCCATCACATGCACACATCTTAATTTGGGCTTTTACTGGTTTCTCCTAATTTGGTCCATCTACCAAAACCATAAATCTTGAGGACTCTGCAGTTTAGCACTGTGACCTGCAGAGTCCCTTATATTTGTTTGGGTACACTGGTCATGTTATGGAACAGCATGGTACATGTCCTCAATTTCTCAGCCTGTGTGTCTGCTTGCTGCTTGCCTGTGGGCTGTGGAGGAAACTTTGTCACAAACAGGCTTTTAGAAATCAATTAACCCTTGCCATTCCCCCTGGACCATTGTTTCAATGCAATATATACTTTACCTACAAGCCAATTCCCAAAAGCAAACTCCAAATACCATTTTCTAGCCATCAGTATGGAAAGGTTATCCAGATGCATCCAGTCCTGTAACTACTACCTTATGCTGCTTATCTATGTGTGGGCACAAGATACACCAGACATGGTCTATGCCAGGGGTGGGCAATTATTTGGGCTGGAAGGCTACTTAAGGAGTTTTGGTGAGCTGCTGAGAACTGGGGGGAGGAGGGTGCTGATGCAGCATGGTGGGGTGTAGTGTGGCACACTGGAGGGTAGAGGGGAGCAATTGATCCTATCCTGTTCTAGGCTTGTTTGCCCTGCACTCACCACTGGGGGCATTGGGTAGAGTGTGTGGGTGGGGTCTCCATGGAGACCAGTCTGGGACCTTTGCAGGCAGGGCACACTTGGCTTAGCAGATGGGAAGAGGCCGCAGGTGGCATTTGAGGAGCAGGACAGGTGGGCGGGGCTGTGATCATGGGATGGTGGCAGCATGGGGCTGGAACCTGGGGTAGAGTCGCAATCTACTCCCTGTATCTCCCTGAAATGGATGCTGGTTCCACTTGCAGCATTGTGCAGGAAGCAGATTGCTGCTCTACCCCAAGCCCCAGCTCTACACTGTCACTGCCCTGTGATACCAGCCCTGCCCCTACCCCTGCCTACCTGTCTCACTCCCAGACACCGCTTCATACCCATCCACCTGGCCAAGCACCTCTCCCAAGGTATTCCAAAAGTAAGCTAAAAATATGGTCTAGATGAAACTACTATAGATTCATAGATTTCATAGACCTTGGGGCTGGAACGGACCTCGCAAGATCATCGGGTCCAGCCCCCTGCCCAAGGGGCAGGAAGTCAGTTGTGGTCAGATCATCCTTTATGTCTTACATATTTAGACCCCTTTATTATTGTCTAACATTAATTGCAAATATATCTTGTTTTTCACTTTTGCTTTCCTGATTTTTATTTTACCCCTGAAAATTCTTGCTGTTCTTTGGCATATTTCCCTAGCGACTTCCCCTCCCTTCCATTGCCTGTATGCTTCCTTTTTGATTTTGAGGCAAAATAAATAATTTTGAACTCGTATTAGAAAGATGAGACTAATATGACTAACATATTGGAATAGTTTCTTTTTTAGACTCCAATACTACTGGAATGTTTGTTAGGAACTGTAAACTTTCCTAGTCGCCTTTATCTTTCAAATCCATTCACTCAGTTTGTCTACTAACAAGTGGACGTCCCCAGGCTGGTCTCAGTGTAGGCCTACTTGCCTACCTTTTCTGCCACGCCTTGATGTTCATGACTGAATGATGTTCATCAGGTGAGAGGCTACCCTTTATCTGCCCTGATGACAAGGGCCTATGTACACAATTCCAACCTTCCCTTATTGTGTCCTGTGCCTCACAGATGTTTCATGGCCTAACACCTGGCTTTATCATATTCCCAATATATATACTGGCCTTCAAGCCCCATCCCTGGACCTTCAAGCTTTTTTCTGGGCCTGCAAGCCCCTTCCCTGGGCTCCAAACCTCACTCTGGGCCTACAAGCCTCCCAGTGTGGGACTAGGGCTCCAAGCCCCATCCCACTTGCTTTCTCTGATCTATTACCCATTATCCCTTTGCCCAGGAGCTTCTACCAGGTATCCAAAGCTCAGGGCCCTACCTCCGTGGAGCCTAACTCCTGGCTCTCGATTGCAACCTCAGACTTCACTGCGAGTCTGGGCACTGTCTCAGTTCCCTCCACCAGACCTGGACCCTGCCTCGGTACTTGCAGTGAGCCTGGGCTCCCCATGCATTGATCTAACTACCCACCAGGGGCAGCTCAGCCAGTGATGTCTCTCTAGCTCCTGGCAGCAGAGTGCTGCCCTGCTGTTCAGGGCTCAGTCTTTATATGTAAAAGTTGGGCCCTGTTCCCCAATCAGGCATCATTGCCTAATTGGGATAACAGCCAGCTATGGGCTGCCTGGTTGCTGCTCATGCCCCTGGGAATAACAGAGCACCCTGTGCTCTATTTCAGATGGATATAGAACTGGTTGTATAATTGTACCGAAAGAATAATCAGGAATGGCTCAATGTCAAATTGGTTGAAGGTAGAAAGTGGATTTCTCCAGAGGTCTGTCCTTGATCCAAGTATTGTTTAATATTTTCATTAATGAATTGGAGGGTGAAATTTAGTTTGCACTTAATAAATTTACTAATGACACCAAGTCAAGTAAGGTTACAGGGATATTACAGGCACTGATGAAAATTTAAAGTGGCCTTGATAAACTGGAAAACTTGTGTTAAAAAATAGAATGAAATTCAGTAAAGGCAAATGCAAAGTACTACATTTAAAAAAAAGGAGCCATTAAATGCACAAATACCAAATGGGAAATGGCTAACTAGGCTGCAGTAATTAAAAAAATGGGATGCTAGAAATCTAGATGAATATGTAGAATCTTTTCCCCCAAAATACTAAGATGTACTAAGAAAATTGTTGTATGTATGTTACAGGAAGTGATTCCTCTATTCCCTTCAGCACTGGTGAGGTTGTACCTAAAATATTGTGTCCAGTTTTGGGCATCACAGCTTACAATAAATATGAACAAATTGAAAAGTATCTAGAGGAGAGCCAAAAAATGACAGAAATTTAGAAAGTATGACCTGTGAAGAAAGATTGAAAGAGTTGGGATTATTTAGTTAAGAGAACAGAAGATTAAGACAGTTTTGAAAAACCTTCAAATAATAAATGGTCTTTTAGAAAGAGGATGGTAATCATTTTTTCTCTGACTTCTGGAATGGGACAGGAGGTAACAGATGGGGAGATTTAGGTTTGACTTAAGAACTTTTAAAGCATGAGGGTAGTTAAGCACTGGAACAGATTAATTTAGGGTGAAGTTACATATTACACTTAGATCATACTAAGGGCACTTAAAACATAAGCATCCCCACATTAAATCTCTTTAACTCATGCTAAATACCCTCTGTGCATCTCAAAGTTATGCATTTTCAGGCAAGGGTTAACTCTGGGACGTACTACCTAGCTTGTATTACAGTAACTTCAGTCTGCTCTATGGAGATAAAACACGTAATTTTCAGTCCTCCAGCACCCCAGGATGCACCACTGTCTGCCCTGTCCACCCACCTAGAGCAGGGAAAGAGCCCAGGTATCCTGGCCCCTAATCATGTCCCTGCTTTCCAGCCCTCTAGTAGTAAGGCAGAAAGGTATAGGCAAGAAATGGTATTAACCCTTAATGAGTGACTGCTCACACTACATTCTCACTTTAATGCTGCTTAACATTTCACAGATTTAGTATAGTCTCAGCTGGCACATCTACACATGCATTTGATCTGAGATCAGTTTACTTATGAATAAACTACACATGTGTAAATGCTCCTGGGTGGGCATCTACACATGTAGGGACGTGGGAGTAGATTTGCTGCTGCTAGCAGCAAACTGGTTCCACTTCCCGTAGTGCTGCAATGAAACCCTGCCACCACCAGGCGGAGCATAAGGCTATCTCCTGGCCAGGGCTGTGACATTGTTGCTGCCCCCGGGAGGTTGCCTGCTGTCAGAGCAAGGACAATGTCTCCCTACCCTGGCAGCAGGGAGCTCCCAGCCCTGGCTCCATAATTGGGGCAGGAGATTTGGAAAGAGCTGCAGGGGAGGGAGGCTAGTAGTGGGTTAGGAGTTCACTACTAGCTGCTATACCAGTGGAGAGGGCAGGGGGCTGGGACCTGCATCAGCCCTGCAGCTCTTTTCAGGCTCCATGCCTCAATTGCCTGATCTCAGGCTGCAAGGTTGGGACCTGCTCTTGACTGGGACATTTCCCAGCCCCTGCTTATGGTCACAGGTGGGGGCTGGAGAGCCTGTTCCCTGGTTAGTTCCACAAGTGAAGAGCTGGGCAGGGAACAGGCTGAGGAGTTTGTTCCTTGCTCAGCTCCGTGATCCTCCACCAGCAGGGAACTCCCAGCGCCAGCTCCACAACCAGAACTTGGCTGGGAGATCCTTATCATCCAGCATCAGCTCTATGACCACAGGGCCAGTGCTGGGAGATCCTTATCTCCCAGCCTGAGTTTTGCAGTCATGGGTCTTGGGCTGGGAGATCCTTTAAGTGCAATTAGACAAACATTTGTCCGAGATGGTTTAAGCAGAGATGATTCTGCCTTGAGCTGGTTGGACTTGATCAGTGAATGCCTATCTTTAGGTCACGCATGCCACAAATTAGCTCTGCATCCTCCCTAAGTACCACTCTGATTCCTTTTCCATATCTGATCTGCTGCTCAGCTTCCTGTTCTCTGCCCCATGCTCTCTGGCTGAGCTACTGGTTTGCTTTCTTCTCCCTGTCCTATCTGCCAGGGTGCTGCCTGTTCCCTCCCCAGTCTACTACATGCCATATACATAGCCTACCAATGCCCTCCTGTGTCATCATCCATGCTACAAGTTGCCACCCCTGGACTAGATGACCATCCTACCCTATTTTTCTATTATTCTCTTCCTTGCTTGCTGTGTTGTGGTGAATATAACTAAGAACTTGCTGTATTCTGTAGTGTTGTTGATTCACATGGTTTTATGCAAACATGGAGAAGGATCATGAAACCACTATCTGGAGCTTGCCTCTGGATTTTCTAATCTGTACAACACTGAACATTCTCTATTCCATGCACATCACCCTGCAATAAGCCTTTGAAAAATAAAAAAGCTCCATACCTTTCCCCACACTTATGTCTATATTCACAATAAACTCTGCTTTTAGGGGTTTCTAATGAAATTGGATGCAAAATATACAACAATTTAAACATTCTAAATGTCAGAGAAGCTCAGATCCACAGCCAAACCCATCTCTAAATTGAATTCATATTCCAGTGACATGCTGCAGATCTAGGATCTCCCATGTATTTTTCCATATAATCAATATATCTGGTTAGAGTTCTTATCTTCCAACCCTTTCTTGAGAGGAATATGCAGAGTGGTGGATACAGGAGCTTTTCTTATACTGCTGTGAATTGAAAAATGACAGCAAAAAATGCCATGGAGAATCCCACCTTCTGTCTTCCTAAGTCTTCATGAGTGAAAGCCCCTAATGCAGATGTTTCCTTTGTTTTCTTAAACCCAGTTTGTTGATTAGTTGTTTCTAGTCTGCAATTTTGAGTACTCTGACAAGTGAGAGAAAGTATTCAGAAATTCTTGATTTTCTGCATCTGAGGTAAAGGGTCCCCATTGAAGTAGAGTAATGGAAATGCTTAGATTTCTGTTTTGGGGAGGTATTAGGAAAAAAGTCTGTGAAGAATCTGACCCTTTGTCCTGTATTTCTCATGGAACTATTATCATTGTGTAGGTCCTAGTTTTGTTGCTTATTTTTCCTATTACAAAGGAAGAAACATTTTAAGAGGAACAACCTGTTTAACAATCATATTGCAAGATCTTTCAACACTGCAACCCTTGCCTTCCTATGCTCCCTTCCTAATCCTTCTATTGTCCTCCTTTGATGTATTATGTCTGATATAGATTGTAATCCCTGGGGTGCTGACACCAGTACTACTCATGCCCACATGTGAAAAAGCATCATGTGACTTTAATAATGCTGCATTAAAAAAGAGAAAAAAAATCAATAGGAAAACCTTTTATTAAACTTAGATAGATAGCAGTTTAAACATTGTGAGTGCCACCATGTGTTTAAGATGGGATATTCTTGAAGGATCCTTTTCTACTGCTCACTCTCTCTTCATATCTGTGCCTCACTAGTGCATGTGTCTGGCATGTATTTGCATGCTGTGTGTTATAAAGTAGTTATTGATATACTTTCCCTACCTGAAAGGGAAAGAAAGATTAAAACAATATTTTAGTTTGAATTTAGAATATTTTCAGTGGGAAATTCAGTGTGAAAGTAGTACAGATGATCTTAATACAACCCTTTTGTGATTTTTGCCTCTCCTTCACAAGGAAGAATTATCTTAAGCACAGAAAAAGTTTTTTGCAGTAGTTAGGAACTAAGTTATTTGTGAATTGTATTATAGGACCTAGTGTGAAAATGTGTCATGTTCTTTTGGCCATAGCAAGATTAGACTGGGCAGTTAATCCAGTAGGTGTCTAAAAGAAGACATAATGAAAGAAAGGTTTAATGTTTCCTACATTATTTATGGGTGTCTCATTTGTAATTGACTAGTGCATACATTTAGCAAATGCAATCCTGTATTTCACAACTGTTAGCTGTTTATTTAATTTTACATAAATGAAAATGTGCAGATTCAGAACAAGATATTCAATAGAAATTCAGAGTGGTTGTGCTTCCCTTCAGTTCTGGATTGTCCTTACTGCAATGGCATATCATACACCACCTTTCAGAAAATGCTATGCACCTATACCTCTGAAAATCAGAAGCCTTTCAAATGTTGGATAGCCAAATGTTGTCTCTCACTTTGGAATATTTTGACATTTAAAAAAAAAATTTAACTTAGTGAAATTTTTAAAAATCTACCTATAGTGAAGATTTTAACATGGGGATTTCCTGTATTCCCTCTGGTAGATTTAGACGATGAACTATTTTAAGAGCAAGAAAATTGAAGTATTAATGTGACGTAAGCTTCTCATAAGAACATGCCAGACTTCTAATGTCTTTGTGCCTATTGTCCCATCTGTAAAACAGAAATATATTGATGAACTTGAAAGATACCTTGTGCCCAAAAAGCTTGTCTATGCAGTTATTCCAATAAAAGGTATTATCCCTATCCCTTAAAAAAACACAGAACTTTGCCTGTATGAATTACAGTAATTATTTGTCTTTAGTTTGGATTAACATGCTTTTGAGATCCTCAGATAGAAGACACTATGGAAGTGCACATTAAATGTCTTGATGCCAACCCATCACTAACTTCCTGACCTTCCACTTCTTTTCCAGGCTCGTCATTATCTCAGGACTCTTGAGTTAGTTCAAAGAGAGAGTGTGTCTATTTGTTGATCTGTAACGGCTTCCACTCATTTTAAAGTGCACATTTTCTAGAATACCCATCTTGTAAAACGGTAAAAAGTTCTGAAATGGGAAAGCACGGTCACTCTAGAGGATAGACTGGAGATTCAGGCTGACCTGGACAGGCTTGCAAGGTGGGCGGACCAACACCTGATGACATTCAACACAGAGAAATGTAAGGTGCTCCACCTCAGGAGAAAGAACCCACATCATACCTATAGGCTACACTCACTAGCACCATGACCGAAAGAGACTTGGAGATCGTGACTGACTACAAGATGAATATGAGCCACCAATGCAATGCCACATCTGGCCAAGCAAATAAAATCTTGGCTTGCATCTACTGATGCATCTCAAACAAGACTCAAGATGTCATCTTCCTGCTTTACTCAGCCTTGATGAGGCTGCAGCTGAAGTACTGCATCCAACTCTGGGCTCCACACTTTAAAAAGGATGTGGAAAAGCTTGAGAGAGTCCAGAGGAGAGCCACATGCATGATCAGAGGTCAAGAGAGCAGGCCTTGTGAGGAGAGGCTGAGAGGCATGGGACTTTTCAGTTTGGAGAAGTGTAGGCTCAGAGGGGACTTGGTGGCAGCCTGTAAGTACATAAGTGGTGTGCATCAGGATCTGGGAGAACGTCTGTTCAGGGCACCCCAAGGGAAGACAAGGTCAAATGATCACAAACTGCTGGAAGACCATCTTAAAGTGGACATAAGAAAAAACTTCTTTACCATCTGAGTCTCTGGAGTCTGGAATAGACTCCCCTCAGAAGTGGCAAGCACCTACTCTCAACATGTTCAAGAAGTGTTTGGATGATTATCTTGCTGAGGTCATCTGACCCCAGCTGACTTCCTGCCCTTTGGCCAGGGGGCTAGAGCCGATGATCTTGCAAGGTCCCTTCCAGCACTAATGTCTATGAAATCTATTTTATGTATAGGAGGGAGAGGTTAGGATTTTTCAATGACTTTTAAGTGGAGTAAATCAATAATACTTTCTCTGTGTTATGAAAAGTGGGTTAATTTTAGTAGAGTGCAGAGTTTGCAGATTTACTTTTTTATGCTTAACGTTTTTCACCATGCTTTGGAAATCAGTGCTCTTTTAAAAGGTTAATCTAACATTTTATCTTATAATGGGTGCTTCTCAAATAATGTATTCAAAGGGAGGTGAAAATGAAAAATTGACCGTTTGTGGTTCTTAATTAAAAGATAGAAGAGAAGCAGAAAACTACTGGTAACCTTTTCGTCTTGCTCTTCGTTCTTAATAGACTAGTTAACATATCTACTTAGAGAGGCCAGTAGATGGTGCTATTACAAATAACTTTGTAATTTATGCTTTGCTTATTGTGAGCAGTTAGCTCTTCTGACTTTGGGGCTGATTCAATCCCAGTTGAACTTAATGGAAAACTTTTTATTAATTTTGATTACTTTTGATCATGCCCCATATTACCAGTAGAGCCTGTTGACTGAGAAAGTGTCTCTCTTGACATAAAGACATGTTAAGTGTACAAGCTCTTGTGTACACTGTGTTAAAGTGCTCCATAATACTTGCTGGATTATCTCCTTGTTATATGGATATTAACATTTAAAAAAATCTATTCATTGCCCATTATATTGTCTTATTTTTCTTTACAGTATTCTATTAAATGGCTTCCCAAGTCTCCTAAACTCTATGGTGGTCGCAATTGGAGTTCTCAGAGCTCTCGCTGGACTTCATTAAGGGGAAAGGAAAGTTTTCATGGTGGCAATCTGTACAAATTCAGCTCAGACAATGAAAAATGGAAGGAAGGGAGGGTTAGTCCTGAGCAAGAAGCAGAAGAATTGGAGGATCCAGATGAAGATGTAAGTAGCCAGGGAAGTGTAATATTTAAGAAAAACTACAAAATGTTTGACCTGTTAGATTTTTTTTTTTGATAGGATGAAGATCTTGTTACTTCTGGTTAGAAATAACCTGTAGCTTCTTCAACTGAACTGGCTTCTGTGATAACACACATTGTTTTGATTTCCTTTTTTATGTTTTGTGGTGGTGGAGATGGACCCCTTTCATTTTATTTATTGATTTAGCTCAAAATATTCTTAAGCATATTCCAGGGGCCTTAACAATTGTCTGAAACAAAATTACTTGGGCATAGAATCAAACCCACATATAAAGATGAAAACTTGGCCAACAATGAGCAATAAAATAGTCAAATATTCTGCTTTTCTCCAGAAATCCTCCCTATGTTAAGCCCAGCTCTGCGAGTGAGGTACCCATTGAACATTAATGGATTCAGACTACTTGGGAACAGGATGGCATAGTCAGCTCTAGAGCACTGAAGAAACCTAGATGTTGTGGCTTCTCTAGATCTCTCTTCTTTTGAACAACTGTTATTCAGGTTGTGGCTTACACCTCCAGTCAGGTCATGCTCCCATATTCTCACCAGAATAAAACCTGAGTCTCTTATAGTCTTTCCCCTCTTGTGGTGGAAGCAGTAGTCAATTCAGTATATAGTAACACCTTTTACCAGGTGTTGGCAGGAAGTCTATGTTTCATAGATTTCATAGACATTTGGGCTGGAAGGAACCCTGGAGGATCATTGAGTTCAGCCCCCTGCCCCAGGGGCAGGAAGTCAGCACGGATCATAGGATCCCAGCAAGATAAGCATCCAAATATGTCTTGAAGGCGTTCAAAGTGGGTGCTTGAACTGCCTCCGGTGGGAGTCTATTCCAAAACTTGGGGGCTTGGACAGTGAAGAAGTTCTTTCTTATGTCCAGCCTGAATCGATCTTGGTGGAGTTTGTGACTATTCGATCTTGTCATCACTTGAGGGGCTCTGGTGAACAGATGTTCCCCCAGATCCTGATGAGGACCCCTGATAAATTTGTAGGTGGCCACCAGATCACCCCTGACCTTGTGCTTTTCGAGGCTGAAGAGCCCCATGGCTCCCAGCCTCTAATCCTAAGGTCTGTTTTCCTGACTGCTGATCATGCACGTGGCTCTCCTCTGCACCCTCTCAAGCTTCTCCACATCCCTTTTGAATTACGGAGCCCAAAACTGAACACAGTACTCCAGCTGTGGCCTCACCAAGGCTGAGTACAATGGGAGAATGATGTCCCGGGATGTACTTGAGAAGCATCTATGGATACGAGCCAGCATTTTGTTCACTTTAGTAGTTGCAGCATCACACTGAAGGCTCATTAATGTGGTCAATCATGACCCCCAAGTCCCTTTCATCTTTAGTGCTAACTGGCGTAGCACTGCTAAGCCTATAAGGATGCTGCAGGTTTTGCCTCCCAAGGTGGAGAACCTTGCATTTTTTGGTGTTGAACACCATCAGGTTCTTGTCTGCCCATTTCCTGAGCCTGTCAAGATCTGCCTGGATCACCCTCCTGTCCTCAGGTGTGGATGCTTTACCCCAGAGTTTGGTGTCATCGGCAAACT